GTTCTGTTGTCTGTCTCTTTATTTGTTTGTGTGGGTGTTTTTTTCTTGTTTATCAACCATCCATTCACCTACTTGTCCAAGTTTTAATAAGTCTATTATTCATTCTTATTTGAAATATGCTGTACCTTTTCTGGCCCCTACACCCATCACTTACTCAATTAGTCACGGATTCATTTGCTTAAACCTTTGTTCAGTGGGCCCTTCATTCATCACTTACTTATTCATCCATGCACACCTTTGAGTATTCCTTCATTTGTGCATTTGCCTAACCCTTAATTTGTTCAAATTTTCATTCCACTGCTGATTTGTATTCATTGGCTGGGTCACCCTGTTGCTATATAAATGGCCACTGGCCCTTGCATGTGTCCAGCATCTCTCCTAACAGTGGATGCTAGAGGCCTGTTGGAGTACCTACAGGGCTCTACAGCCTCCCAGCAGGGGGCGCTAGCAACCTGAGGCTGGTCTGCCCAGTTTCAAGCTGAAGCCCACTCTGGAGATGAAATGGGTTCTGATTCAGTTACCTAAGGCCATAGGTAGGCCACAAGCTAAGGTGGGGCTTCTCTTTCTTAATAGCTTTCGAGTGAAGCTGTGGGTGGCTCTTGTGATGACAGGCCAGCCCGGATTTCCAGCCTGTGTCTCCTCCCTACCCCAGACTGACAGTCCAGGACTCACAAAGCCAAAGCCATTCTCCCTGCTTCTTGGGCTCTGTGGGTATGACTCAGAGGTATGGCCACTCTGCTGGCCCTCCCCTGCCAGGGGTCAGACCAGTTACCTGGATCACTTGCTTTACAGAACACAAATGCCTCTTTGGAAGTGGACGTTGAAGCAAACAGACTCGTTGGAGAGATGAAGCTAGAAAAGTAAGCCTGTGGGGGCGGGAGGAGGTGGGTGCCCATCCACCCCTGGGTCTTCAGGAGAGCAGTGGCCTCCCCACACAATCAGCACCCAGTCCTGGCCTTGGTCCACCTACCAAGCCTCAGACGGTATGCAGTGGGCACACTGCCCATGTGCTCAAAGCCAGGGGTGGTAGTGACATGGATACTCAGGAGCACTGGGGCCTGCCTGGGTAACTTAGTGAGACCCTGGCCCAAAGCAAAGCTGAAAATGACTGAGAATAGGACTTGGTAGGGGAGCAATTGCCTGGCCTGTGTAGGGCCCTGGGTTTTTCTCCCCAGAACTGCCAAAGAAAACAGGAAACCAAATGGCTGCTCAGAGGCAAGTGACTTACCCAGGCTCATACATAAGTGGCCACATGTCCCAATTTACCCAAAATGGCCTGGACTAGTTAGTGAGTAGGCCGTGGCTTCAGGGAACTGACGAGCCTGAGGCTTCCAGGTTGAATAGAGCCAGGTGCCTATGCTGGCTTCATTCCCTGCAGGCTGTCCCCACAGGCAGCACCCTAGGCAGCAGGAGAGAGACACTCACTTGCCATCCTAGAAGCCTTGAAATCAGCTTCCACTGGGCAGCACATTTGTCGGCAGGGAGGTGGACTGTGCTTGGAGCTTAGGGTTTGGTTGGCAACACTAACCATTCTGGGAACACGTGACTCTCCCCACGGGAGAGCCTGGGGCGCGCTGAGAAAGCATACTGCCTCAGAAGCCGGGGTGGTGTCCCTGGGTGGATTCCCGCTACTCAGGGCACTGGACAGCCTCATCTCCCCTCCTGCAGGCTGACACTGGAACTGAAGTCCTCTGCATTTGGCTCCTTTAAGGTGAGTCTGAGCCCCTCGGAGGAAGTTCCTGGCCCACCCACCCGCACATAGCTTGCTCTGTGGGCAGGAAGCCTGAGCCAGAGTCCCTGCACTTACAAAGTGTGCATCGTCAGGCCAGTCACTTGCCCTCTCGGAACTCATTCCTTCCTCACCGGAGCTTGTGTGCTGGGATTCCACTGGGACAAAACACACACAAAAGAACTGCTTGGTGTGTTTGTTGAATGGACAAATTAATTACTTTACTGAACCCCAGTTCCTATATTAGAAGCTGAGTACATTAACCCCAGCCCTCGAGAAGCAGAGGCAGGAAGATCTCTGTGAGTTTGAGACCAGTCTAGTCTACATAGTAAGTTTGAGGCCAGCCAATACTACATAGAGAGACCATGTCTCGAAGAAAGAGGCAGGTGAGTGGGATCAGGGAGGTCCCCCTGAGGAGTGTGACCACAGGGGTGTGAGACCAAGAACAGAGAAAGGAGGGTGGGCTGGAGGAAGGCTTTGGAGGGAGGGCTGGAGGAAGGCGTTGGAGGTGGCTTAGGTGGAATTGATGGGAGAAGATGTTTGTGGGAAGGCATTTTGGTGGCACCCAGGTTGTAGCTGAGTGACTGAATGACCCAGAAGAGGTCTGGCCACTTGTCTGCTCCTCTTCCCTCAGCCCTGCCCATAGACCCATTCGTGTGGCACCTCCACACAGTGCACATCCATCGAGGCTGAGGCTGCTAGAGCACTGGCAGAACCCTGCTTCCCACTGCTTTGCAGAGCGCCCGCCTTCCCCATTGAGGGCCTTGGAGCCACCAGCTCCAGAATCACAACGTCCCAGCCTGCCATCTCCAAGTCTGTTGAGATTCCATCTGGGATAATAGCAAACAGAAGGCCAGCCTGCTCCTCCTGGGGCTCCTGGGGCTTCCCCTGCAGAGGTTGGCTCTGGCTGGTAACTAAGTTCTGCTCCTGCAGAAAATGAAAATGGGCTTTCCCAGTTGCAGAGCTAGGAGGGCACTGAAGTGAGGTGCCCCAGGGAGCACAGCCTGGGAGCAAGCACGATTACCCAGAAACGAAAGCATCACATTTATGAGCTGTGTCACTGCTCCAGGCAGGCATCCTGATGTGGGTTCAGGTTCCTATTTATTTATTTATTATGGGCAAAACAACACACATGCAGCACTGAGCACCTGGAACCTGTAGCAAACTCAAGTAGTGAAATACTTACTTGTATTCCTACCATTCAGTTCATGAGTTAGAATATAGCATTCCAGCTGGCCAGTGGTGGCACACACCTTTAATCCCAGTACTTGGAAAGCAGAGGCAAGCAGATCTCTGTGAGCTCAAAGCCAGCCTGGTCTACATAGCTAGTTCCAGGACAGCCAATGCTACACAGAGAATCCCTGTCTTGAAAACCTTTCTGGCTTTTCAGTATGCCTCTTTAATTAGAATTCAGACTTGCTTGGCTCACACATTGGCCCATCCCTGTGCTGCTGGTCACATTCCTACAATATCCTGTTTAATGGCACCCGACTATTTCTTGATATAGTTCCCTGCTGTTGGACTCAGTAGTTCCGTTAGTTTACTATTTGTGTTAAATTGTCTTGTGGAAGACGCTTGCTTCTCGGGTTTTGCTTTCATCCCATGCCTTGCCTTCTCCTCACCCTCACTGCCCCCCCCCCCAGGAAGGCTGCGTTAGGACTGTTACTGCCCAATAGCCCACACATTTTGAAATAAAGGCCTTCCTTCCTTCCTCCCTCCCTTCCTTCCTCCTCCTCTGCTTTTTTTTTTTTTTTTTTTTTTTTTTTTTTTTTGGGGGGGGGTTTTGGTTTTTACCATTGTAACCTTGGACTGGAACTCACTATGTAGACCAGGCTCATAGACAGCCACCTTCCACCAGTCTGTGGCTCCTGAGTGCTGGGGTTAAAGGCATGTGCCACCATGCTTGGCTTGTTGGTTTGTTTGTTTTGAGCCAGGGCTCAGGATCTCAAACTCATGATCCTCCTGCCTCAGCCTCTGAATCGCAGGCACGTCCCATGTCTTCTTACTATTTGCAAGGCCTTGTTGGCCACTGTGGAAGAGCCATGAAAAGTCCCCTTTCATAGTCTCCCAACCTTCTGTGTCCCTGTGACCTTGCCAGCTGCCCAGTTTCCTCATGTCTTCTGTGTCTTGTGCCCACTCTGGGTGTTTCTCCAGGCTGGGAGGCAGGGAGAGGCGGTGTGAGTGAAGGGCAGTGGCCCTAATGACACAGCCCCACCCCACCCTTCCTATCTGAAGGTGGAGTTGCTGCAGGCTGTCCTAAACTACCTCATGCCCACCATAGTGCTGCCCAAGATCAACGGTAAGGAGCTTCGAAGAAACCAATGGTTTTCAGGCCTGGTCAGAAGGGCAGGGCTACCTGCCTGCAGATCCTGGTTCCTGGCCCAGGTTAGAGGGCAGAGGATGGGCCCCTCAAATGACCCCAAATGACATCTGACCCTGGACTCCTCGTCTACTCTTATTCCTCACACCATTTCTGCCTGTGAGGTGGGTGGTTGTTGAGTGACTTTTTCAGGGTGGTATAAAACTAACATCTATCCCCACCTGGGGTTCATACCAGTAGCCCCTAGACTGACCTACCCAAGTTCATCTTCATGGGAGAGATGGGTCTATGATGAATTCCCGGGACTGACCCAAGGTACCCCGGGTTACTAAACTATCCCCTGAGCATGCCTGCCTCAGTTCCACCTCAGTTTATGGGGTGCAGGGGTTGTTCGCCCCAGGTACTGTCCATTCACACCTTCATCTGCAACAAAGAGGGAGTCAGTGTACAGATACCCCCAATCCTAGGCCCATGCTCTGTCTAGGTAGCCCCTGGTTTCACTCAGGTGTGGTATAGAGCAATAGTGTGTACCCTCAAGAAGGGAAGTCACTGGGGAGAGGCCTATATGGGTCCTGCATGTGGGCTTGGGGGCCGATGGAGGACAAGGGGGTGGGGCACAGACACTGGGGTGGCCTTCCTTCCAGGCACACAGACCTGTGCCAGCCTCTGCTTCACTTCCTCTTCTCTTGTCTCGCACCGTAGAGAGGCTTCATAGAGGCTTTCCTCTCCCTTTGCCTGCTGGGGCCCAGCTCAACAACCTCATGTTTCAGGCTTACCAGGTAAGTTCCCAAGGGCTCTGGTCACCAAGCACACCCCACAAGAACAGCAACCCGCCGCTGCCAAGCCTCCTCTGTGCCACACCCTGCATCTATATCCAGTCCTTCCTGGCCTCACAACATCCTTAGGACACAGAGAGAGCTGCCGCTTAGGAAACCAGGGCGTCAAATGCAGTTCATAGTCTAAGCCAGGCTCATCTCTTTTTACACCATTATTGTCTGTTCCTGTAAACATGAACTCACCCAGTAGATACACAGTTCTTTGTAGGTGGGTATATCTAAGTGCTGAAAATCAGATTATTTTTGAAAACTAGCTTGGGCGCGGGGGGGGGGGGGGGGGGGGTAGAAGAA